AGATATGGAGCTTTAATAAGTTGTACTTACGCACAATTTACTTGTAATCTTGCGTTTTAAGAGTTTACGAATAAAAAGTAGTTTACGAATAAAAAGTAGTTTTTAAGAGTTTTTGTCAAATGCTTTATAGTATAATATAATTTTTTTTTTAATTTAATTTAAGTTTAATAATAAAATAATTAATTTTTCCTTTAATAATATAACATTTTATAAAGATAATAATTAAGTATTATGTTAGAACTCAATAATTATCTTAATTATATTTTAGAATTTTTATATTTAAAATGAGATGTTTATCTTGTATTTGATTGTGTTTATTTGCAGTTAGTTACACGAATTCAGATATGGAGCTTTAATAAGCTGTACCTACGCACAATTAATTGTAATTTTGAGTAATATGCATTAATAAACAGTACTTTACGCATAAAAAGTGGTTTTTAAGAGTTTTTGTCAAATGATTTATAATATCGAATATATTTTTTCATATATAATTTAATTTAAGTTTAATAATAAAACAATTTATTTTTCATTTAATATCATAAATTTTATAAAGATAATAATTAAGTATTCTGTTAGAATTTAATGATTATACTAATTATATTTTAGATTTTTTATATTTAAAATGAGATGTTTATCCAGTATTCGATTGTGTTTATCTGCAGTTAGTTACACGAATTCAGATATGAGATGAAATCGGATAGGGATGAACGGGTTTAAATATTTTTAAGAGTTTTTAAGAATTTTAAGAGTTTTCAAGAGTTTTAACCAAATGCTTTATAAATAGCATAAATATATAGTTACCGTTTTGGAGGGGGCAAGTGGCGTCCTATTTCTCATTTCAAATGAAAGGATCTTTCTCTTCGATTTCAAAATTTATTGAAAGGGACGTGCCACTAAAAGTCAAAAAGACATCCAAACTTTGACTACTTCTCCATTTATATTTGTTTTTTTTAATATTAAAAAATTTATAATTATTTTTATATGTATTTATTTCACATTGATACCTTAAATTCTACTTTTAGTCCAAAAATGTTAATACTAAATATATGAATCCTACATGTTGATCGTTCTAATTTAAATAAGAACTTCTCTAACAGATTCTTCAAAAATACAGATTATAACATTTTTAACAGATTTTCTAAAATGAAGATTATAACATCTCCAACAGATTCTCCAAAAATGAAGATTATAACATCTCCAACAGATTCTCCAAAAATGAAAATTATAACATCTCCAACAGATTCTCCAAAAATGAAAATTTTGTGGATGTTTGCTTTAAAAGATTTCCCAGAACTTTTTGTCAAAATGGAGAAAGTATGAGAGAGGGAGATATGATAAAAATTTCTCGAAATTTGGAGAACTCTAAAAAAATGATTACTTATGAAAGAGATTTATTTTTATTTCTCTTACAAACGAAAATTCTTGAAAGTAAATGTATAAGAGAAAAAATTAATATTTTATAAAATGTATCGAATATTATTAATAATACAATTCATATTGTAATCTCCAACATAAAGAATCTGTTATAAATGCTCTTATTAATCAACAATTGATTTTCAAAAAACTACGTTTTATTACTTAGGGGTCGTTTACCAAACGTTTACCTTACCAAGTAACATTACCTCACCGGATGAATATGGTAAGGACGAAGAATCTTACCCAGTAAGAACGAGACAAGGCCCAAGAGTCTTACTCGATAAGTGAGAACGACGACTCTTACCACGATAAATGCTTATTACCGGGTAAATTGTTGCATACTATGTCGTTTTGGTGAACTAAAATTTTATCCGATAAGTAAATAATAGTGTTAAATTTTACCTGTAAGCACTTATTGTGCAAGTGTTTAGTAAATGACCCCTTAGTTTATCAAATACAATCTTATAGTTTTTTATTAAAATGTTATGAGTTTAATTTTAAACACCCACTAATCTCAACTACTGAGCGAGATATAAAAACTGGTGTCTTGAACAGATGGCTCGAAACGCTGGTAATCAACTTTTTACCTAAATTTCTTATTAAAATAATATATATTTTTGGATTATAAATAACTCCTTCAAAATCTTACAATGACAGCTAATAAACAGATAAATAAGCTTAAAAATTAATTAAATTTAAAATAAAAAACACTATTATTTTAATAATTTATAAATGTAATCTCTTATTAAATTTGTTTGAACAAGGGGTGCCTCTGTGAGTGACACATCTACAGAAGCTCTCTGTCTGTTTGTCTTTTTACATTAAATATTACCCATTTCACCATACTCTTCTTCTGCTCAAATTGTCTGTCTCCTTTCTTCTTCACTTTTGCCATTTCAAGAAATCTTGAAATTCTGATTAACAGCAGCTTAACATCATGAGTGCTTCAAAGTTCATAAAATGTGTTTGTGTTGGAGATGGAGCTGTTGGCAAGACTTGTATGCTCATTTGTTATACCAGTAACAAGTTCCCCACTGTCAGTCTCTCTCTTTCTCTTTCTATGTATATATATATGTATGTATATGTCTGTATGTATCTCTTTCCCAACCCCAGTTCATATCAGAAAACACCCATGGTTTTTGGTAATGTGGGTGTTTGGCTTAATGAAAATAAGCCCCATTTTCTTGCTGGTATTGTTTACTTTCTTGATGTTCCTGATGTTGATTGCATGTTGGTTTATTGTAATATTCAGATTCTTGAATCAAAAGTTTGTATCTTTGGGGTTCTTCTTTTCTTCTTCTTCTTCTTCTCTGATTTTAGGGTTTATTTGCAGGATTATATTCCAACAGTTTTTGATAATTTCAGTGCCAATGTGGCTGTGGATGGAAATATTGTGAATTTGGGACTTTGGGATACTGCTGGTATTTGATTAAAGATCCAAATTTTTTAGAGTTTTTGAACTGTTTTAGGGTTTATTTTGTTGATTTCTGACCATAAAAAGTTGATTTTTATATAAGGTCAAGAAGATTATAGCAGATTAAGGCCACTAAGCTACAGAGGTGCAGACATTTTTGTGTTGGCTTTCTCTTTAATCAGCAGACCAAGTTATGAGAATGTCCTCAAGAAGGTAACCTCTTTCAACACTTTTAAGTTATATATATATATATATATATATATATATATATATATAGAGAGAGAGAGAGAGAGGAGGTTGGAAAACCCAAAAAACTGAAGAACTAACATATGGTGAATGAACGGTTACCAGGGTGTTCTTTCCGGTTTTACCTGAGACCCTATGTATAGGGTTGAGTTCCGGTGAGAAAGAGAGTTAAGGTGAGAACGGATGCACATTAGGATGAGATGCACCGGACCAACCCTTGAATCAAGCACTATTTATGGGTGGGTTTGAGATTAAAGGTTATCAAGGGTTCATATCCGTTCTTATGCTTCTTTAACTCTCCTTCTCACCTGACACACACACACATATATATATATATATATATATATGTATATGTATGTATGTGTACTTTTCCAGTGTTTAGAAAGAATATACTAAAGAGAGAATTAACATAACGTTCAGAATGTAAAGTTAATCTTTCTGATTTTGAATGTAAAGAATCTTGAATCTTGAAAAAAGAAGATTCCATGATCAAGTAGAACCTTCTTTGAATCTGTTAAAAATATGAACCTTTGACTTTGAATGTTCTTACAGTGGATGCCAGAACTTCGAAGATTCGCACCCGATGTTCCAGTTATACTTGTTGGGACGAAATTAGGTACAGTTTGCTTTGCATTTTAGCAATCAAGATTTCTTGAAAATCAAGCAGATGATCTAGATTTTTTCGGGTTCTTTTTGCTTCCAGATCTTCGTGATGACAAGGGTTACTTGGCTGATCATATGGGTTCTAATGCCATAACTTACGCGCAGGTACTGAACCATCAAACTGAATAATTTCAAATTCAAATTAAACGTTGACGTCATCCAATTTCCGCTCTAAAATTTGTTCGATTTTGCAATTATTTTTTACTTTTACGATAAAAGAACAGTTCTTATCGATTTTGATGTGAAAAAACTAATAGATTTGACTCGTAAAAGTCAAAACCGAACTCTAATGAAGTTAATGATGTTTAGGGGGAGGAACTGAGGAAACAGATTGGTGCAGCTGCTTATATTGAATGCAGCTCCAAGACTCAACAGGTATTCCATTAAGTCCTATAGAGATAAAACTGTCTTTGCGGATTAATCTTTTTTGTATAGATTGAGAGGATTTTTCATAGATGGAGTGAGCGTGTTTTTAAATTGGGAATAGCAGGTTTGAATTAAAACTTGACTTTCTGCATAACGCTCCACCCTAGAAGCTTACTGAATAAGTCATTTTCTATATCATTAAGCTACTACCAGATGGTCAGATATAGCTGACCGAATAAGCTATGAGTCCCGTTAAGCTCATTAGACTTTATTTGCTTGTTGAGTTGACCCTCAAGATTTAGAATATTATACAATTGAACTGAACTCTTGTTTTCCCGAATCGGTAAAGAATGTCAAAGCAGTTTTCGACTCAGCGATCAAGGCCGTACTACAACCTCCAAGGAGGAAAGAGATGGCAACGAGAAAGAACAGGCGCAAAAGCTCCGGTTGTTCATTCCCGTAAGTAATTGTATTGTACACCACGGATGTCTAACTTTTTCTTGAAAGTTTGAGGTTCATCGGTTCGACCCATTTCATTTTTCGGTTTTCAGTTTTATGGGTCGTATTCGTTTATACCTGTACCATGAAAACCGGCCTCGTGTGAATTTTTGATGATTTGAATTTGATTTTGGGTGATGGCAGGGGCATTCTATGTGGAGGTTGTGCTGCTTAGAAAAGGTTCATCCGCGGATGAATCAATATCACAATATTTTGACTTAAATTTCCAAAATTCTCCAAATGTTTGGTTTCATTTTCGAGGATTTATTTGTATGAGTAATCGTGTTCTCTTTTCCAGAAGTTTATTTGTTTTGGTGTTTTATACAAGGATGCTTTGTATAAATCTGCAAATTATGAGATTTGCATTTTTTTTATGAACCTGGATATCTAACCCGCTATGCGAGCCGACTAATTTCAAGGCGACCACTCATGAAATAATCACATTTGAACTTTCGTGACCACAATAAGATTTTTATTCTCCTTTGCATTTTTGTAGTGTCAAACTGCCAGTCAAGGGAAATTCACCAAAATAGTAAATTTCCTTTGGCCAAATTAAATTTAAAATTTAGGGAGTGTTTGAGATTGCTTATAAAAACAATTTATTGATTTATTCTGGTGTGACATCGATAATAAGCATTTTTGAGTGTTTGGATAAATAACTTATACCGGTGTCAAACCGGTGATAAGAAGTTTTTGAAGAAGTTAAACCCTTCTGACTTATAATAAGTTGATAGGTGTTTTTACAAGAAAAACATAAATTGTTTCAAATAAGCAACCCTTGAGGCATCAAATTCTCATTTTAATCATAGTATAAAGCCTATTTTTAGATTAAAAAAATTTGGAGATCCTTCTGTAAATTTGTGTCATTTTCTTAATATGAAAATGACTTTTATGCAAATGCATAAAGATTTGGATTATTTACCAAACGCTTACCCGGATAAACGTTTACCGGTAAATTTAACATTATCACTTACTGGTATCGTATGCAATAGTTTACCTAGTAAACGTTTACTGTAGTAAGAGTCGTTGCCCTCACTTGCTGGGTAAGATTCTCGGTCCTTGCTTTTGCTCTTACTAGGTAAGATTCTTGGTTCTTGTCATATTCATCCAATAATAAGATAATGTTACTTGATAAATGGTTACCCGAGTAAGTTTTTAGTAAACGACCCCTAATTTTTTTTATCTACCCAAAATACTCCTTTTATAGACGGCTTGAGGAACCCAATCCATGGATGATAAGAGATCGAGAAGTCGGTGTTGCTATAAAACATATCTATACTATATTATGAAACATTTGACAAAAACTCTTAAAAACCATTTTTTATGCATGAAATACTGTATATTGATGCATATTACTTAAAACTTCAAGAGTTCAAGTAAATTATGCACAAGTACAACTTATTAAAGCTCTATGTTTGAATTCGTGTAACTAACTGCGGATAAACATAGTCAAATAGAGGATAAGCATCTCATTTTAAAATATAAAAAATCTAAAATATAATTAGAATAATTATCGAGTTCTAATAAATTAATTAATTAATATCTTTATAAAAAAATGATATTATTAAACTAAATATAAATTACTTCGTTATTGAACCTAAAGTAAATTATAATAAAAAAATTGAATTAAAAATTACACAAAATTGAGAAATTTTAAATAGTTAATTTGATACTAATACCGATATATTTATGTCAAATTTTTATGATATTTTCAAATTTATATTTTATTAAAAAAATAAAAACATCATCGTCTTTTCGAAATCACATGAGACCATATTATAACATCGACTTTTAAAATCACATAAAGTCAAATTATAACATCGGTGATAAGTTAATACCTAGTGTTTGGATAAGAAAAAAGAAAACTGCTTATACCGGTGCCAAACCGGTAATAAGCAGTTTTTGATAAGTTAATCCGTCCTGACTTATGAAAAACTGCTTATTACCAGTTTACCATTTTAATACTATTAACCTTTATACTTATCTTTTTTCCTCCAGATAACATCGATCTCAATCTTCTCCCTTCTCCAGATAACAATATCAATCTTCTCTCTGTCTTTTTTGGTCATTTTACAGATATAAGCAAAATTTGTCAAACACTAAAAAACAACTTATCAGCTTATTGCAGTTTGGTACCGCTATAAGCTAATCCAAACATTTTTTACAAAACTCCAGTTTGATACCACATAAGTTAATAAGCACTTTTATAAAAAAAACATAAGTTGTTTTAAATAAGCAATCCCAAACACCCCATATTTTTTATAAAGGGCGTCCATTAAATATGTAGTATTCAAAATTTCCTATGATAACCGGAAACACACCCACCCGACCGGTAGGCCCGACCCGACCCGATTAATGGTTTGATCCATCGGGCACGAATTGAAATTTATAATTTAGGGTTTATATCGACCGCTGTTTACAAAAGACGGTGAAAGAGTGGCCGGAGCTGCTACGGAAACGTAACAGGGAGAGATTGAGAAGAGATGGGTTCTAGAGATAAGGATCCAACGGCGCCTCACCAACCGCTTTTAAGCAGCCTCGTTGTCCGTCCTACGGATAGTGGTGGCGGTGGTGGTGGTAGTGATTACGAGCCCGGCGAAGTTCGCCGCGATCCACCTCCGTATTCTCGCTCTGATCGATTTCCTGACAATAGCCATGGTTCGTTCTATCGCTTATGTTTCCCCGATACTCGTCTTCATGTGTCGTTTAATTGTTTGAATGCCTTTCATTTTAGATCTGCTTTAGGTTAAAAAAGTCCTTCAAATTTGTTCATAGTATTTAGCATTAGGCGTGCATGATGGCTGTTTCGTCTCTTTGTTTTCCGATTTTCTGTACTTGTTCTGTTAATTTAAACTTAGATTAATCTATTGTATGAAGAAGGAAGCTGCAATGGTCTAATTTTTGTTTCTACAAAAGGTAAATGGAACCAAATTATTTTTCATCCGCATCCCTTTTTGTGTTGGTAGCTTCAATGATGTACGCCCAAACTTTTTCCCCTGAAATCTAAGCAGAAAATTGTTGCAACGCTCGATCATATGAGGCTAAACTGATGGAAAATTGAACATTTTATTCTGTTGTGGTTATTGATGCTATTATTGCTTTTTGTGCTTGGACTTGATTGCTTCTACCGTGCAATTGTTGATGAGAGAAGTTTCAAATGCAAAATCTATAAAAACAATTTATTGATTATGGGGTGATGTGGACTGGGGGATATAGTTGCCTCTTTCTTAGATGTGGTTACTGTTTGAAGATTCCAGCCATGTTTTGTTTTCAGTTATTGTGCAAACTTATCTGTGGATCCAACCTTGCACAGAGCAGAGCCAACTGAAAATACAGCTAGCTGAATATGTTCTATAACTAGTTTGGTCTGTTTGATGTTCTTTGTGACCTTGTAATGCCTTTTGATAAAACAAAAATAGTGGATGGGCAAACGGAAGTCTTACAAGGGCACTATCTATAATTCAGTGTGGATGAGGCCAGAGTGAAGGGAACTTCACTCCAATTCTCTTTGTTTTGACTTTAGTTAATTAGTCATATATTGGTTATGTCAAAAGTGTGCATTAAATTACTGTTTAGTGTATCAAGTATGGATACGATATTTACACATGTTGTTCTTTTCATGTTTTGCTGTGTATTATCTTGTTAGCTTGTGTGGTATGTGAAGAAGGCACAATTCAGTTAGATTTTGTTGTTTGTGTTTAAAAGAGGATGTTCTTGTTCATGTTGTTTGCACTCATTAAAGTGATGTAGAAGTAAACATGTATATATTGCCATTTATGATTGAGGAATTGATGTTTCAATAGTATATATATATGCAGCATGTGTATCACAGCCCAACAAGGGTCATCATCTTACCGATTTGATTGCTTCTTGTGGATGACTTTGCTCTATCTGAAATTTAGATTTCGTATGATTCCATGATACCTTTATAATAACTTGTGGGACTTGTCATGTTACTCAAATCATTTACTGGCTTTATTCATGAGGGATTTGTAGCCGTGTGAAGAAATATCGTTGTTGCTTTGAAATTTCCATGGTTATAGCTACGTTGCAAGACGGTTTTGCAAACTGTTGTTTGTGCCTTTCAATGTGTGGACCAGAATCCATTTGGGGTATTACATTTGTCAATGATTTTGCTATTGTGTTTTACAGCTGAGAAAAGACGGCTGGTGCAAGAACTTGAGGTCTTGAGGAAGCCGGTTATTTTGATTTGAATGCTTGGTATATATGAATTTGGGTTTGGGAATTGTTTTTTGGGTTTTGAATGGGGCGAACTTAATTAGAGGATGCCAGTGCGTGGTCTGGTGGGGTTGGAACTGGATAGCCAAGCCGTTGTTGGGGTTTTATGCTTGGGGTGTAATGATAATGGTATCTGCTATAAGGTTTGAAAATAATGCACGCATGTATTACACCCCTTGAAGAACTTGTTCTGGTCACTTATGGGCAGTTCGTTGGTGTTCGAGAAGCGAAACTTGGCACTGCTACCTTGGTATGGTTGGCTGCAGGAGGATGTGCTTTTGTGGTGCCAACAATTTGGTCTAGAAGAATAAGTGTTAACTTCACTATCATATTGTGTACTTGGGCACATCAGTTTTTTGACCATTTGGATGCCTGCGGTGGTTAATCGGATAGTTCTTAGGTGTAATCTCCATCTCAAATTGGGAATGGTGTGCAGAGGCATTATTTGCTATCTGTGAAAATGAGTGCTTGCTTGGAGATGCTATACCGGTTGTAAACCACCTGGGGAAGTTTTGTAATCCGATCGCATATTTCATGCTAAAGACTGGTTTTAGGTTTGCTTCATTACATTCTTTTTGGGTTTTTTGTGTTAACATGTCTATGTATCAGCAGAAGGATTTTGAAGGAAGTGAATAAATGGGTTGTGTTAGTTGTAAGATTAGGTTTTATAATTAGTGCTCCCATGGGGATTGGTATCTGTTCCTTGCGTGGTTTCCCTTGCTGTATTGCTGCTTCGCTGCAGGTGATTTTGCAAAAGTGGACAGATTTTTCTTATGCTGTTGCCATTATTGCCATTGGCTTCACTGAACTTTGCCTTGAAGTTGGGTGCTCAAGATTAATGAACTGGGTTTTTTTATTTTGATTAGGGTGCTTGAGATTAATGAACTGGGTTTTTTATTTTGAGGTCTTTGCACGGTAAATATGAACCTACAAATATATACTTAACAAGGTAGCTAGATTCAGGTCTTGTAGGTGACTAGTTGTATTTGGTATCTTGTTATACATGAAACTCCAATCGGTAACCGTGGAGCATATGTGGATTAACCAGGTTTAGCCTGCTAATTGTTCCATTCCCATCTACTGCTGATCTGGGCTGGTTATTGAAAGGTACAGCGAGACTAGTTAATGGATGGGTGTGATGTTCCTTCTTTGCTAATTAATGGACGTGTGAATGTTGCTTACTGTTGTTACGGATTTGGTTAAGTTGCTTGGCTACTCTAGGGACGAGATACTTGGTTTTTCCTCTTGGTGTTACTTTCTTTTAATGCTTTGGACTTGACTGGCTTTTCAGGGTATAGAATGCGTGCAGGTTCTACTTCTCCTGTTCGTCGTCGAAATGGAAGTCACCACTACAGTCCTGACTATGATCATTCGGATGGCCCACCTCGCAACCGTGGATTTGGGAGAGGGAGAGAGTCTGGTAGGTATCGAGATTATTCACCTCCTTATGGTCGTGGGAGGTTTGGTGGTGGTAGGTTTACTGGGAGAGGGTTTGATGGCCCTGGAATGGGCCCCGGTTTCAGAGGTGATGTCGTACCTAGAAATAACCCAAATGTCCGTCCAAGAGAGGGAGATTGGATGTGCACAGACCCCACGTAAGTTTTCTATATCCTCTTCTTTGAAGTACATATATCTGTTGAAAAAAGAAAATCTGAATTTAGTGTTTGAATAAAATAGAAATTACGTGGTGGTTGAACTTGTCTTTTGCTAATATCAAGACCTTGTCAAAAGATCGGAGAAAAATTATGTGTCAAGTTAAATATTGTAAAATTCTCGAATTTTTGGTATAATTTGTTAAACTCAAATTAATGTTATAATTTGAATACTTCAGGTTTGTAAATAATGATGTAATTTATTTTAGTTTTTATGATAATGAAAGAGTATTTTGTCATATTTACTTGGTTTTATTCTCATATTATCTCTCAGATGCAACAATCTGAACTTTGCAAGGCGCGAGTACTGTAACAACTGCAACAGGTCCCGTTATGCACCTCCTGGGAGTCCTAGGAGGGGCTACCCAGGCCCACCTCTGATGGCTCGACGTTTCCCTGGACCGCCACTGGACCGGTCACCCGGAAGATCCTTCAACGGCTACAGGTCTCCTCCACGAGCTTTTGGACGCGACGGTCCTAGAGACTTTGGCATCGTGGGTCCTCTTCATCACCCCAGGCACGAAGGGCGGTTTCCCAGGGATCATCATAGGCCCGACTACTTTGAAGATGAGTTGAGAGAGAGGAACAGGTTTGATAGGCCAATGGCACCACTGGATTGGGGAAGAGACAGAAAAGGGTACGACAGACGGCCACCACTATCTCCACCTGGACCACCACCACCTGGACCACCTCAGGTGGGTCGTGGTGGTGGACGATGGGTTCATGACGAGAGAGAACGGAGCAGATCTCCAATTCGGGGTGGACCACCACCTCCTAAGGATTATAGACGAGATGGTTACATGGAAAGGGGACGAGATGACCGAAGGGGCATGGGTCGTGATCCGTATTAGATAGGTTTGTACATCCAAGCTGGTATGGGTCGTTTCGTTAGGGATTGTGGTTGTGTACTTGTTGGAATTTTGTGCACTGGGATTAGGTAATTGGCATGTTTTGGTACTTGCATTACATTTTAGCTTCAGAACCATGTCTTTATGTGAAGAACGTGGTGCTGTGTAGCTCACGTGAGACATCGGCCTTTTTGTTTTTAGAATTTTAACTATTTAGGTTTGCATATTGGCTTGTGGAGCGCAAAAGGGCTCGGGCTTAGGATTAGACATGGCAAAAGGGCTCGGGCTCGGGCTCGGGCTCCACTCGGACCGGTTCATTAAGATGGGTCAAAAAGGTCCGGCTAGGTTCCTAGGTTGGATTTTGTGTGATACACTCTTTCACATTTGGTGAAATTTTAACCTTTGATCTTGGTGTTGGTCTGAATGTATATGATAATTTCGAAGAGTTTCGAGTGAAATTCTCTAAATTTTTGGAACCCCAGAAAAATGTTTATCATGAGAGAGAACTTTTATTATATTCTCATCAATAAGGGGTTGTTAAGCTCTTAATAGTTCTATTAAGAGGCAATCTCTTAATTGTTAAGAGATGGATCTTGTTTGGTAAAAAATATGTCTCTTAATGATTCCTTAACCATTCAGTTCTCTAATTTCATTGCAAACAATTATTGAATAATTATATTTCATTTTGCACTATATCATTAGAGCCTCTAAATCATTCCGACTACTTAATTATTTTGCATCAAATCATTTTACAACCGGCAAAGAGCTCCTAAAAAACTTCAATATTAAATGTCTAGAAGAAAGAAATAGTATATTAAATGTATGAAATATTTAATAATATAACCAATGTTGTAATCTCCAAAATGAAGTATTCACTAAAGTTGACTGTAATTTTTCTTTGTGGAGATTTTGAATTTTATTTCTCTATTTTAGAGAAATTTCAAAGAATTTGTAATATGTCATTGGTACTGATAATGCCCATACCTAGGTTTATTTCGGATCCAAATTCTCTATTTGAGCTAGTGCACCTTTAAGCTGAATCAAGAGTCCATAAAATAGCGGTTCGACCTGGGGAAGGTCAACACAGTTCGACTCTAGTAAAAAGTCAAAAATTATGTCGATATGAGGAATAAAATGCGTTTGTTTTAAAAAAAAAATCATCCTTAACCCTTGAAATAAATACATGTTGTCCTGAACATTTAAAAACGACTTTTAAGATAAATTTGCAATTGAAAGAAAAAACATAAATCATGAAAAAAAGTAATAAAATCCAAACGAAGAGAAGAATAAACAAAAAGCCACCCCTGGTTCAGTTGTAAGTTATATCTATAATTGTACATGAGGTAATGAGTTTGATTCTTATAGCTAATATTTTTAGCAAAAACATTTGTAGAGCGCCGAGAAGCAAATTTAAACATAAAGAATTTGGTTTTAAAACATCTGAAAATGCCCTTCAAAATCAATGGGTACACCTTTTAGATAACGTTATTTTCTTGCAATAAAAGAGCGAGCAGGTGCAAAGGAACCCGCTCCGCTCTTAAAAGGTCCGCCTTGCTTAAGTCATTAGTAAAGCCCGACCTTTCGATAGGTCAATGGTTCAAACCTAACTAAAACAACAGCTTCTAATGATAAAATATAATTGAAAACTCCATTAAGGAGATTTGAAACTAGAGATGTAAGTGAAAAGCAATAGCTGACCACATTCAGACTTCATCAACTTTGAATAGTTTCATGTCTAAACAAAAATACTGAACCAAACATTATAACTTTAACAAGTTTTATTACTATCCTTCTTGCGATCTGATCGATGAATCACTTGTTGCCTACAGACGAGCCCTCGAACTTGTAGACGACAATGGAGCACTCTGCAAAACCCATGAACACATCAGTATTTTATTTGCCATATATAAACATTATATACTTTAAAAAAGGCTCAAAATCATGAGAATACGTGGAACCCCCAGGTTAATCTCCACAAAAGCCATTTTGAAGAGAGAGAAGGTTCCAACATATATAAAAGAGAACTGATCCAAGTCTAGCCTATGTGGAACTCTAACTCACCCTCTCCAATAGGCATGGTGATTTGCCCCGTCCCATTGGGGAACCCGGTTCACTCGCCCGTTTGGGGGCCAGGATCCCCGACATGTTGAAAACCGGGGCAGGGGCGGGTTGGGATAGTGGAACCGGAGCCAGGGATTGCGTTCCCCGCTCCATCTCCGCCCCGTTGCCATGCCTACCCTCCAACAGTGGCTAGATGGACACATATTGCCCCAAAGTGGTAGACCTTGGATCTAATACCATGTAGAATATATGGACCCCATATTACTCTCCAGAAGAGCCCTTTAGGAGAGAAAGGAAGTTCCAACATATATAAAAGACAAATGGTCCAAGTCTAGCTGATGCGAAACGGTAACAAGAATTTCCGTAACAAACGACAAAAGAAAGTGTACGAAGAAACCGGGTTGCGTTCTCACCAATGGGACACTGTTTTTCGCTCTTTCTTCAAGAAATCTTGATGGCTTATAGAAGTTACTATATTGTTCAGACCATTTCTTGAGACTTGTATATATGTGTTTGGCCCCAACCAAATCTCCCCAAAACACAATACCACCACTGCAATAAACAAACAAACAATAAGATCTGCTTGTAACAATTGTCTTCAAGAAAAGGAAAAAAAGGATTAAAGATACGAATATAAACAACGGACCGATAAGAAGGAAAACTCATCCCAAGAACCGATGCAACATCGAGATCGGATGCTCGAACCACAACTCCTTCCTCAAGAACCCGACAAGCCTCATTCACCACCGGAAACAAAATCATCTCCACTATTTCTTGGTCGGTGATCGATATAGGCTGTCACACATAGTTCAATACACACATAAGAAATTATAGTATAAACCAAACTAAACGGACCCAGTAAATTCCACAAAGAGGTAAGAGTATCTCCAAAGATTCTCCATAATTTCTTTAAAATATAGAATCTAACGGTTTAAATTTCAAAAAGAATTACTACAAATTCTCTATTTTCGAGATTTTAACATTGATTATATTATTAATGTATTATATAATTTTATCATCTCAATACACCTTTTTAGAAGAAAAAAAAACCTTTATTTTATACCCACGTTCAGAAAATTTTCTCGATCCGCCTCCGGGTAGAGAGGTTGTTTCGGTGGTAAGGAATTATAGTATGTTGGTGGTAAACCCAATGGTGGTTAGATTTGTCAATAAAGGATACCTTCCCTCCTGGCGTTAAATTGACTAGTCTTTTAGCCTCCTCTATGATCGGGAACACCTGGGGATCGGGTTTCGGCTTGCTACCCTTCTCGTAAAGATAATATCCTTTTCCATTGTTTTTACCTGAAAGAGTAGTCTTGCGTAAAGGAAAGAGCTTTGCTGGAAAGATTATAACAAACAAACAAAACGGTCGTGTAAAAGGAATTTACCATTTCGCCCGCTTTTGATTAGGAGGTCGATTATAGGAGAACGGAATGTGCGATCAGGAAAAGCGGTCGCAAATTCTTTACCTACAGCAAGAGCTACACCGTATCCAGCTAAATCCTGAAGCCTACAATCACAAATTCATATATTATCAAAGGTCTCAACCTGAAGGACAATGGCATTCTTGATTTTTCAATTTTCCCACGACGGTAATTTGCTCAACGTCAATGTATTACTTTCCAAGTTCAAATCTTTAGAGTTTCTACAAAAGGGTTTGTAAGCCGGCCCACACCGTTCTACCCGCAGCGATATCATGTCAGAGGCAAATCAGGTACACAAGGGCCCACTAGGTGGTTAGCTTAAGCCAACTCTGCTATTCCCAAATGCTTAATTTGGGCATGTGAGATTTTAATTTTGAGCCATAAATGAAATAACTCGTGTCGATTTTGAATTTAAAAACTAGGTGGTTTACCTTGAAAGTCCTGATTACCCGTAACTCAAAATTATACAAATGTCAAGGTGAAGAAACTTACTGGAAAGGACCCATTGGGAGTCCAAAGCTGCTGATCAGTCGGTCAATTCTAAACAAGTCGACACCTAAATGAAGCAAAATATGCGCACCCTGTGTGTACGGAAAGAAAGTGCGATTAACAGCGAAGCCTGTACAATTTCCCACCACAACTGGAGCTTTCTTTATAATCTTTCCAACTGTCATAAGGTCTAGGATCACTTGTGCAGAAGTCTTTTCTGTTCGGACTATCTCCAATAGAGGCATCACATGAGCCGGACTGTAATCATTTTCGAACAAAAATAAATATTAGTTAGGAAAATTTGATCATCTTAGTAGGATGGAAGCAGCCTTCGCCTAAATTGGGCTGTTTGGTTGGTTTTCCATTAAGTCCTGTATGGATTAAGATGTTTGTGTGCATTAATCTGTCTGTATAGATTGAGAGGTTTTTGTCTAGGAGAGTTTTTTCATAAATGGAATAAACATGTTTTTAATTTGGGAGGGGAAGGCTTGGAAAAAACTTGGCTTTCTATATAAAGCTCCCTTTAAAAGCTTACTGAATAAGCCACTTTTTATATCATTAAGCCACTACCAAAGAGTCATATGTAGCTGATCGAATAAGCTGTGAGTCCTATTAAACGCATTAAGCTGCTAACAAACAATCCCTAAATGAACCCAATATATACCATTGAAGAAAGGGTTTGGGGATGGGATGGCAGCAAATATGTATACACATACATACACACACATATTTATATATAATTACTGTTCAGAATTCCTGATTCTAGATGTGCACTTTGTACAGATTTCGAGTTATTTGCATTACCACAAACCATAGAGAAAATAGTTTGAAGATATGGGATTATGTCATGTAACCTGAAGAAATGTGCCCCCACAACTCGGTCTTGAGATTTTATTTTCTCTCCAACCAAATTGAGGTCAATCGTAGATGTGTTTGTTGCCAAAATGCAATGAGGGGGACAAGCCTTCTCGATCTCGCTGAAGATCTTTTGCTTCAACGGAACATTCTCGATAACGGCCTGCGATCAAAACTCGATCAAACAAATATATAGGCTCGACGTGTCATTATTACACTTATTAATTAACTACATGACAATTTTACCGTTGATAATAAAGAGCATAACAAATTTCTTCATCTCGTAATTATAGGTAGAATTGGAAAGTAGGCACTTACTTTGAAAGTGGAAACTTATTTGGGGACAAACTAAAATAGAAATGTGGACACTTGATTTGGGACGGCGGGAGTAATATATTAGGACGTAAAACAATTAGTAACAAACAATCTCTTATAGAAGAAAATACCTCTATAACCATATCCACGTCTCTGAATTCCGAGTAATCTAACACGCCTTTAACCATCGACAAGACCTTTTCAGCTTGAGCCTGTGCTAACTTCTTCCTTGCAACCAAACCTCGAACATTTGCTACATGACGGAAAGCATCATTGTGGTAAGTTTATGAAAGATAGAAATCCTTCAATAATGGTGAATAAGTCACATACTAAAATTATCAGAGTCGTCTATTTACCTTCGATTGTTTTTATTCCCTTCAGAAGATACTCGGAGTTGATTTCTTTAAGAACAACGCTTATATTACCAAGGATAAGGGCTGTAGCTATTCCTGACCCCATTAAACCTCCACCGATCACAGCAACTTTCTTGACGGTCCTTGGCTTGAGACCAATATCGGTGACGTTAGGTACCTGTCAATTTTAGAAAACCAAGTCAAGATTATAGAAATTCCAACATTTGAAAGAGCAAGATGAAATGTTAAAAATAAACCCATGATTGTACCTTTGAGATAGCACGTTGTGCAAAGAATACATGAACAAGACCTTTCGATGTGTCTGAAACAACGAGCTCGTTAAACGCCTTGACCTCCTGAGGAACAAAATATTAGATTGTTTTAGCTTGAATAATGCAATAATGCAATGGGGTTGCTCTTTTATAAGTCTAAAAGTAAAACAAGATCTCGATCTTTGTTATAACATTAGAAAGACAAGTTTCGGGCCGTTTACCAATACAAATAAAGTAAGCGCTAACCAAGTATGCGGGCTTTCTGGGTAAGAGGTTCGGTTTTGGTAAGCACTGACTAAAGCACTGGCAGAGTCAGAAAACAACCCCTTCCTTACTCGGTCGGCATATTTGTGTGCCAGAGTGTGTTGATAAACATCCCCTTTTACTGGGTAAGCACCTCTTACCCTGCAAGAGGCAGTTAGCAGGTAGTAAACAGAGGGGATGTTTGGTTGATTTTCCATTCAGTGTGGATTAATTTGTCTGTATGGATTGAAAAGGTTTTTGTTTAGGATGGTTTTTTCATAGATGGAAGAAGCGCGTTTTTTTAATTGGGAGGGGCAGGTTTAAAAAAAACGTGGCTTTCTGCATAACACCCCCCTAGAAACTTACTGAATAAGTCATTTTTTATCATTAAGCCACTAACAAACAGTCATGTATAGCTGACCGAATAAGTTGTGAGTCCCATTAAGCTGCTAACGAACAGGCCCAGACCCTTAGTAAACAATGGTAACAAGTCTTTTGGCCCAAGCATTGCTTACTAATAAAACAAAAGAAGTCATATGACCAAAATTACCTTTAAAACGCCGGCATACCCTCCATGAATAATGCCTTCCTCAATCACGTCAAGGCAAGCCAGATGTTGTGGCATATTAGGAGCCGTGCGTTTGACTAGTTGTCTAGCATTCTTAAGTATTTCACGTGCTTCAGATAAAGAACCGATTTTATCTGTGCGATGAAGTGCACGAACCCATGGTTTACGTGCCTCTGCGATGTCTAAAGCCCATTGCCGAGAGACTTTCAACAATTCTTGGGGAGGCACAATAGCATCAATAAGACCTAGCTTTTTCCCTTCCTCAGAAAGTATCGGTTTAGATGTCTGCGAAAGAAATCTTGAAATAAATATCACCAATTCCACTAGAAAACTTATGATGATTTAACAATATCGAAGAGGAAAGGAGCTCACCAACATCATATCAATTGCCTTTGACAACCCCAAAAGCCTAGGAAGTCTTTGGGTACCTTCAAAAACCATATTCAAGCGTTCATTATTTAGTCAACTCCATTAATAAAATCAAAATAAGTGTAGTTTGTCCCAAAACAAGTGTCCACTTTCAAAAGTTAGTGTCTGCTTTCATTACCCTTAAAAGTAAATGCGGTGACTCCTGGCTACCCGCAAAGCAGGTGGTTGCCCAGGGATTAGTCGGCTTGCATAGTGGGTTGGATATCCAGGTTAATAAAAAAAAGTAGATTCAGATACTTCCATTCGCTGAGGCGCCAAGGATATAGATTATAGTCAACGAATCCCATGGAATTTTCTTGTCACCTAGGGACTGGTTATACATAGGGAGTGTCTTTTAAAAAATATAAATTATATATCAAGTTTTTCACAATTTCTACAAGATCTTCAAGTTTTTTTTACCAAAAACTTCATTTATTTTAAGTTTTCCAAGTTCTTTTGGAAGTTTTTCAAGTTCTTTTAAGTGTTCCAATACTAAATTTCAAAAATCATAATTATAAAAACATGTACAATATTCTTTTTGTAAAAATATTTAAAGTGTAATTGAATGACACAATTAGAGATTTTACAGTGTATTTCAATAAGATATTGTCCAAAAAAGAAAATCTTCAAACAATATTTTTTATATATTCAAAATCAAAATTATGTTTTGGAAAAAAAATTGGGACCAATTTGGGCCCGACCCGGTAGGGACCGGGCTTTGTACATGGAGAATTGGCCGGATGTTTTTGGTAGGGACCGAGACCGGTTACAAAAGAAGAATCTCAGCCAAGGACCGATCTGGCCCGGCCCGAGACTGATTTTTGGCCATCTCTAGTCCGGATCGACCGTGTCGGATTGCCATCAATTTGTCATTTAGTTAATTAAAAAGTGTAATAATTACACATTTATAAAACCGTGTGCCTATTTCATTGTGGACATTTATTACAGGTGTAAGGAAGTATTTATTGAATCTCACAATAAAAGTTGTTACAGATATTGTACCTCCAAAGCCAGGCATAACTCCAAGAGACAATTCAGGTAAGCCAAGTTGAGCTTTCGGAGCTGCAATACGGGCATGGCATCCCTACATAAAACAGCACGTTTAAAATGCGTTCACCAAACCAAATTTGTGAACAAACTTTGAAGCCCAAAAACTACAAACCATTGCTATTTCTAGACCGCCCCCAAGCGCAAGTCCTTGTACAGCGGCAACTATGGGTTTCTTGGCATCTAAGATTACCAAAAAGAACAAATTGTGTTAGTAAATGAAGACTTTAGCGAATGTCATACAAAATACTAGTAACTGGGAAAAGAAAAGATGATGTTTATATATAACACCTTCAATTGTGTTGGTCACAAGGGCAACAGATACATCCGGTAATTGAGATATGTCTCCTGCCATAAAAATAATTAATTATTGGGAACATAATAGATCATTAGTTTGTTGCAAAGATGATATCTAATGAAGTTGTACCATTCTGATGAACTCGCTGGAAAACATTGATGTCAAATCCACCTGAAAATCTCCCATTCTTGCCTTCATAAAGTAAGAGAAGTCAAATTTAGTACTGGAAATGACGTGTTTGACTACAAAATTTCAGTAAATGTATACTCCAAACACTACAACTTCAAAGATGTTAGTGATGAATTAGTATCAAAATCTAAATCAATTTTGTTTCTAAAAGGTGGAAACCACTAGGTTTGACATCAAAAGGTCCATATGTATCTTTTTCTGGAATTAGTGAGCAGTATGAATATCCTCAGAAACAAGCAACTATGCCCAAAAAAAACACAATCTTCCATTAACGTCAAAGAAACCCAATGAATTAACATCAAACAGTTTTGGATCATCCAAGTTAAGGCTGATGCTTGTTTACATCTAAATAGGCTGAATGGCTTGAACCTCTGAATAGGTCAGAGCCTAAGTCCATTTGTTAAAAAAATCTGAATAATTGAATGAATGATTGAAGAATTATGAGACATAATAACCCAATTTTATTATTCAAAAAGTTGCCCAGATGCACTGTTGTTTCATAGACAAATTGTCATTCCCACAAGATAGCCGTTTTCATCTTCTCCTTCGATTGCTTCACTATCTGCATAAATAACTACATCACCAATCTCTTATCCTTCTCTTCAGATATCTTAGATTTTTGTTCAAGTAATGGGTCAGATGTGTTCATGAGTGAGTTGCCAAAGCCCCTAAACTTACTTAAAGTGGGGCTGGGTTTAGCAGATGAGCCTTGTAAGTTCGGGTTTCTTTCAATTTGCTATTTTTTCCAAGTAATACAGATTTTGTCTCTAGATTATTCCTTTAGTCCATCAAAAAAAAATTGCATGGTTTGTTCTAACTCCAAAGTAGTCATTTCTCAACGTTTTAATACTTTAAACCAACCTCCAATGCGTTTACGTTAACTCTCATCATGTGCACATATAACCAAACTAAAAGCTGAATTGATGAATCTTCTTGGCATCTCTTATATGGGTAATGCATACTTACAAGAATAAAGCAAAAGATTGCTGAAATCTCCTAACTATATTTCTTGAATATTAGTTATTTTTTTAGCATTTTTGTTTCAAGAATCATGCTGAGATGGTTATGTTTCTTGAGTATTTGCTCATTCAAAACCAAAGCAAACACACACAGTATGTCTCCCTTGATTCCTCAGGATATCTCATCCAAAATCACAACGATAAGAAACGTGTTTAGTCTCAATCTTGGTGTAAACCCACCCTGTGTCATCCACCGGGGTCCCGACCCAAATCATTGCGCACTTGTACATATCTTGTATTGCATAAACATACATCCAATGTACCCCCTCTCTCTTCCAGACTCCTCCAAATCACATCCTATGGTACGCTATCATAAGCCTTCTTCAAGTCCACGAACATCATATGTAGGTTCTTACTTCGCTCTCTATACTTCTACATGAGGGTTTGAGGAGGTGGATTTAGCTTGATGGTCAACCTCCCAAGCATGAAGCCAAATTCATACTCCATCACTTTGTCTCATGCCAAACCCTTATCTCAAGAACCATTTCTCATTTTCATGATGTGCTAAGTACCTTTATACCTCAATAGTTGGCACAAGTTTTTTGTTCTTGTATAGTGACACCATCACAATAAGCCTCCAAGGGGTGTATGTAATACATGTGTGCATTATTTTTCAAGTTGTCATAAGCTTTTCTAGTCTATCAACCAGCCTTCTTGTTAAAAATGGTTTAAAGTAGTAACGTCTGTTTATTAGAGATGAAACCCTAATCATTGGGTACTTCTTAGTTGCTAAACATACCCTAAATTAAAAAACAATCCAATTAAATTGGATTGAAGAGACCACAAATAGAAAATGCAGTAAATTCAATGAAAACAAAAGCTGGATTCAAGAGATTACCGATCACTTCTTTGTTTTTTACCAAACAGAAGATAAATCAGGGAAAAAGAAAAGGCAAATTCCATCAAAAAAAAGGTGGATTCAAGATATTACCAGTCAAAACGATCGCTTTCACATCATCTCTCCTCATAGCCTCAGCAAATTTGTCCTTCAACCCACCAAGAACTTAAGAGAAAAAACCCAAAGCAAAACAAATGATCGATCATCGAGATGCAATTGAAGTGGAAAAATAACAAACAAATAACTAAATCCCTTTCGTGAGATCTAATCTGTAGAAAACCCGATTGGATTAAAGAATTTATATGCAATAAAAAAGAAAACCCCAGAAATGAAAAAGGAATTAAGCTTGATTTCATGAAATTTTATAAAACCCAGTTGAATTGAAGAAAGATAGGAGCTTACTTGGGACAGCTAAGGCGTTAACAGGAGGATTAGAGATGGTGATGAGAGCAACACCATCGGAACCGACCTCCATCGTAACGATTACTTCTGCCATTGCTGGTGAATTTTGTTTTGCAAACGAAGAGTCTATCAAAGTCAATAGAGAAGAAGAAGTTGATGATGATCAAGGGTTTATATAGAGATAGAGATCGAGTGTGAAATTGACCATGTTTGTTGCCTTGATCGCTTGGTTCATGATTGCGTATCACTTTGGCTCACGCACCGAGGCCTGAATTATCAAAATAATTATTATTTATATTTTATAGCAATTTATTTATAAGAAAATTAATTGAGACAATTATTTTCAAACTTTGTATTATGTCAAGGATGAGACTGAAGAGGTTCAATCGTATAGGAGTGTCGCTTACTAAATAGAGGTGTGTGCACACACACACATATATATATATATATATATATATATTAGAAGGATACTCGTACAATACAACGAGATATATCTTGATTTTAATGTTTCGTTTTATTTTGTATCTGAAGATGTTATAATACGGTTTTTATGTTGTTTTAAAAATGGGATAATGTTTTTATTTTTGAATAAAATATAAAGTTGAAGATATCATAAAATTTCGAAAATAAATATATCAATATTAGTATCAAATTAACTATTTAAAAGTTATTGATTTTGTGTAATTTCTTTAATTCAATATTTTTATTATAATTTAGCTTAGATTTAATAACAAAATAATTTATTTTTGATTTAGTAATATGATTTTTTTATAAGAATAATTTAGAACTCAATGATTATCCTAATTATATTTAATATATATATATATATATATATATTTAAAATAAGATATTTATCCGGAATTTGATTATGTTTATCTGCAGTTAGTTATACGAATTCAAAAATGAAACTTTAATAAGTTCTACTTACGCACAATTTACTTGTAATCTTAAATTTTAAGTAATATGCATTAATAAACAGTATGTCATGCATAAAGAATGGTTTTTAATAGTTTTTGTCAAATGTTTTATAATATAGTATAGATATAGCTAGTTTAAGAGAAGAAATTGCGATACAATTAATACAAAATGAAGATTGATTCTAATTGTTATGAGACTCTTAGAGTAGGATTCTTAGTTAGGATTTTTGTGGTGTTTTTGAATTTTTAAAATATTAATTGTGTTAACGACTTCTATACTTCTATATGAAAAAAAAAATCTACTTTTTCATTGCAATCGGGTCATTTTGGTAATTTTACAATCGTTTTAATTAAGTTTTAACTTTCAAACCTTTCGGTTTCTTGGAAGACTTTTTACTGTCTCCATCTACAACATGTAACTATTTTACTCTCTTCATCCCTTAATTTCTTCATTTTGATTCAGGTTTGTTTTTTTTCTCGATCTCTTAAATTTTTTTCATTTTGTTTTTGGTTTGTTTTTGTTGTTATCGATCTCTTCATCCCTCAATCTATGTTTCTCTATTGTTTCCTTACCATTTATCCCCACCGACAAAGAGAAGTATACGCATCGGTTTAATCAGGTAAAGTGATACAACTCTCAATTTGTTCATCTAAAACAGAAAGGTATACATGAATATATATATATATATATATATATATATATATGCTCATTCAAGGGAGAACTGACTAGTTTGTGGTAACCGTGAGATCCAATCTCAGCCACAAATCCATAGATAAACTAGAAAATTTATAATTTTGGTAATTTTGAATTAAAATTTTAATGCAAGGACATTTTAGATATTTTCTCTCCTCTCTCTTCTCTCTTCTCTCCGTCACCCGTCCTCCGTGCTCCGGCGATACCACTGTGATACCTAAAAATATTGATCCTGTTAAACAAAAGACAAAATGTGATACCCAAGCACATGATGCATTGTGATACCACTGTGTTACATCTACGATCGACCACACAAACGATCTCAGTGTGATACCCAAGCACATATAGAATACATTGTGATACCACTGTGGTATCGCCGGAGGCCGGGAGACGGAGAGAGAAGAGAGGAGAGATGAGAGAGATGAGAAAATACCTAAAATGTCATTGCATTAAAATTTTAATTCAAAATTACCAAAATTATAAATTTACTAATTTATCTATTGATTTATGGTTAAAATTGGACTTCACGGTTATCATAAACTAATTAGTTCTCATTTGATTAGACTCATATATATATATATATATATATATATATATATATATATAAAAGAAGACATTACAACATGGATGAAAGAGAAGTCTCTATCGAAATTTTAAATTTTGTGAGATTTATTTTTATTTTTGTTGTGCATTATCTCCTTTTTTTAATAGTTTCTCAATTTTAAATTTTATAAGAAAATACAATAAAGTTAAAATGACATGTCACTAATTAGTATCAATAGATAATTAAATACTTATTATTAACTCTCTGACTAATATATAAATAGTTATT